TCTATCAACTACATCCATAATAAGAAGATATGGAACATAAATGAAAAGGATGATGTTGATGATGCTTTCTCTTATAATGTCAAGTGAAATAAATGAGGAAACCGAAGATCCAGAACCAAAATCTGTTTATGAATGTCAAAATAGACATGATTGGAAACAATGAAAAGATGCAATACAAACCTAACTTGATTAGCTTAATAAACAAGAAGTATTTGGATCTACTGTACCCACACCTTCAGATGTGAGACCAAATGGATACAAATGGGTTTTCGTTCGAAAGCGAAATGAGAAAAATGAGATTACGAGATTCAAAGCTCGTCTTGTGGCCCAAGGTTTTTCTCAAAGACTTGGAATCGATTATGAGGAAACATATTCTTTTGTTATGGATGCAATCACTTTTGGATTCCTGATGAGTCTAGCAGCTGATAAAAATCTTGAGATGCGTCATATGGATGTTGTTACAGCTTAACTATATGGATCATTAGATATTGATATCTACATGAAAGTTCTTGATGGATTTAAAATGCCAGAAGCATTAAGTTCCAAACCGAAAGAGCATTATATGGGTTAAAGCAACGTGTACGTAAGCGGTATAATCGTCTCAGTTAACATTTAACAAAAGAATGATATGTGAATGATCATATATGCCCATGTGTTTTCATCAAGAAAACAACATCCAAATTTGTGATAACTCCGGTATATGTTGATAAACTTAATATTATTGAAGCTTAGAAGAAAATACAAAAGACATCAAAATATCTGAAAGGAGAATTTGAGAAGAAAGATCTCGGACAGACAAAGTATTGTCTTGATCTACAAATTGAGCATTATCAAAATGGTATATTTGTGCATCAATCCTCATATACTAAAAGAGTGTTGAAACACTTTAACATGGATAAATAAAATCATCTTAGCACTCTGATGGTTGTTAGATCACTTAATGTTGAAAATGATCAATTTCGACCATCTGCGGAAAGTGAAGAGATACTTGGTCCTGAAGTACCATATCTAAGTGAAATTGCAGCACTGATGTATCTTGTAAATTGTACAAGGCCTGATATATCATTCACTGTTAATCTCTTGGCAAGATACATCTCATCTCCTACACAAAGACATTAGAATGGAATTAAACATGTCTTCCGTTACATCCAAGGGAACATTGATTTAGGCTTGTTTTATCCTAAAGATTCAGATGGTCAAATGGTTGGTTTTACAGATGCTTGATATCTCTCAGATCCATACAAAGCTTGATTGTAAACCGGATACGTTTTCACGATCGGAGGCACTGCTATATCTTGGCGTTCTCAGAAACAAATGCCCGTGGTTATCTCTTCAACTCATGCTGAGATCATCACATTTCATGAAGCAAGTAGAAAATATGTATGCCTAAGATCAATAAGCCTACACATATGTTCAAGTAGTGGGATTGACGAAAATGTGGAGCCAACTGTTCTATATAAAGATAATGCGGCATGTATATCTCAAACGAAAGAAGAATATATCAAAAGTGATAGGACGAAACATATACATCCAAAGTTCTTCTCTTACACTCGAGAGCTCAAGAAGAATAAAGAGATTGAAGTAAGATATGTTTGTTCATGCGACAATACAACTGATCTCTTCACAAAATCACTTCCTATCTCAGTATTCATAAAACATGTCCATAACATTGGAATGCATCATCAGAAAAATCTGTGACTGTTCATTCGAAGGAGAGCTTACGTGGTTGTACTCATTTTACCTTACTATTGGTTTTTACTGAGTTTTTTCAAAAAAGGTTTTTAACGAAGCAACAAAGATGTTAACCAAGAGCGATAGTGACACCGGTCTCCAAGAAAAAATGTTATAAACGTGAAAAATGATTGTCAAGAATTCACACACCAAAAATTGATGTTTTCGTGTGTACGACTATGTGAAACATGCGTCATTATGCATACACAATAAATCCTACTTTTTCATTTATATATATACAATCGATTTCGATCATTTGTAACTCTCACAATTACCGTTTCCTCTTTCTATATAATAAATTCTCTTTATCGTATATCAATATTATTTTTCTGTGAATATAAAATTCATTCTTATTTAATTTTTTGATACTATAAAATTATATTTATAAAAAATTCTATATATTTTAAGCTAAAAAACAAAAACAAAAAAGATAATCGTATATAAGTGTGCATATATTCCTTCTTTTTCTCAACTGCATATTGCATATGTTCTTTTCTAATATTTTAGTTTTTGACTTCACGTTTCACTTTATTTTACGTAAAGTCTCTTTTTCAGAAAAACTCAAACAAAGTAAAATCTCTTTTTTTTTTTAAATAATACATTTTTTTTGTCAACATGCTTTTTATTAAAACATCAAGATAGATAAGGGTACATATTACAGCTATGCACATAAAATAACACGTGTAAGATATTCACTTAACTCTATGCTACTTATCCAAACAGAGACATGTAGATCGGGACTTACTTTTTCTTCACCGCCAACCTGGTTTTCTGATCGTAATCTTGGTGTTTTTTTTCCTCTTTATGCAACACCTCCATCTCTTTGCTTTGTACTCCTATCAAGATTCTCTTCCGAATTTCACCATCACTGATGACTGGGAATCATGCCACTGCAAGAATAATTGAAAATAACAAAGGAATGGCGACGACATTTCCGTAACCACAATAATTAGCGATGAAAATTGCGACAGAAAGCGTAAAGTAAAAAAAAAAGTCAAGACCGTAGCTAATCTGTAGCGATCCATAGCTATCTAGCTACGAATATGATATATAGGCATTTTATAGCTAAATAGCTACTAATTAACAGGAATAAATTGTCGACAAAAGTTTTATATTATCAACACATGGTTATAAATAATTATGTATCTAATTGATATCTATGTGTTATATGTAGAATTTTGCATCTGTGGTATATGTTTGAAATTAATAACTTTAAATAAGATAATGTGAATTTGCATTTTATGTTTGAATTAGCACTTCAATTTAATGTTTGTGTTTGGTTGATACTTTAGTCAGAGTTATAGTATAAAGTTTAGATTTTAGGGATTGTGATTTATGATTAGGGGTTAAAGGTTTTATAGTTAAGAAGTAGTTAAAATTCGTAAATTATAATTTGTTAGAAATTTATATAAGACTATGAAAATTTATATACATTTGTGAAGTTAAAATTAAATAAAAATATTTGGCTAATACTTTAATTAGGAACTAGAGTTTGATCCGCGTATCCGTGCGGGTATTCACTTTTACGTTTTTTATAAATTGATATTCGTTTTTAATGATTAGTATTATATGTTTTAGATATGTCGCCGATAACTAATTGCATACAAAAGAACTGGACTGAATCAGGTAATAAGATTATTTTTATCACAAATATCTGAACTCATTTCAGATATATTGGTTATTTAGATATTCTTATGTTCATATACATCAAAATCAAAATCATTCAGACTAGGGGGACCCATTTCAAACCTTACACATAAATTTATAATATCCGAGCATGTCTAATTTCAAAACTCAAAAAGTTGATCTCGAAAGAAATAACTTGTATCTGAAAGAATACCCAAATGTCTATATCTAACTGATTCGGTAAATAAATTAAAAAAAAATCTTTCTTTATGTTTAGCTAAATTAAAGGAAATAGAAAGAATTTTTTATTTATTAAAATAGTTATATGGAATGAAACATTAAGGGACAATAAATGTAAGAAATATTAATTATTTTAATTTAAGTTATTATTTTGTTTACATAAACTATCCTTTGAATTATGTGTTTGGCTACATAATTTTCACTAATTGGAACCAAGCTTTTTAAAACCGGACCGACCCGTTGGTTGGACCAGGTTTGACCATGAACCAATCACGTAACCGGGTTGAAACTGGTTTGACCATGAACCGGTCAAGTAATCAGATATATTTATCTCAACATTATTGGATTTAATAAACACTATTAAGACTATCAAAATTCTATAAACCAACCATATGAACAAAAATTAGTATCAATATTAATTATTTATCATATTTACTAACTTTACTTTTAATTTATATATCTAAAATATATTAAACCAGATTCTTGAACCAGGATTATCCGACCGAACCATATTGAACAGTGACCCAAAATTTTGGTTCAGCTTCCGGTCTGGTTTTAAAAGCACTAATTAGAACTAAGATAAAAGAAAGTTTTAGTAAAACAGATTAAAACAAAATCTTAACCGTACGCAGAATTCTATTATTTTACATTTTTTATTTTTATAATTTGCACAAAGTTAATATTGATTAACTTTATTTTACATTTTTTATTTTTTATAATTTGCACAAAGTTAATATTGATTAACTAATAAATAAAAATCTGCAATACTACTTTAATGTTATATAATTAATGATTTGATGTATTGTTAAAGGTAAATATAATTAATGATGTGAAATATAATTAATGATGTAATGTATTGTTAAGGTAATATAATTAATGAATTATTAAAAGAATATTATATATTTTTTATATTGTTATCCATGTTTCCCAACAATTCTCATTTAAACTACTATCCATGTTTTCAAACAACTCTCAAATATACTTCAATTTTAATAATATAGGTTATGGAATATGGTTTAGATTTTAGGGATTGTGGTTTAGGGTTAAGAGTTTATAGGTAAGAAGTTATAAAAAATATAAAAATTTGGTTAGTAAATTATAATTTGTTAGAAATTTATACTATACTATTAAAAACATATAAATTTGGTTATTATAAATATTTTATTTTCCATTTTTACATCACAAATTTTATTTTTTTCATTAATTATTTTGCCTCCACTCATTTTCTCAAAAATAGTTTTGGCTCCATTAATTGCCTCCATCTTCTCACTTCCCTCCTAAATATAATATATAAAACAACTACTAAACATAAAACAGCTTTTGACCATAGATTATTGTTAATCTAAAGGCTATAAATCATTCTTTTGTGAATCTTCTACCTTCTTTTCCATTGGTCAATCTATAAAGATTGAGATTGTCATTTCTAGCCACTGATATTTTGAATCGTATGGCCTAAAATCAATATTTCTCATCTAAGTCATTCTAGTATGTTCTCATCATAACTCAACTCTCTCTCTCGCCTAAGTTAGAAGAAACACAAGAGCAAATTAGCAGAGCTCAACTCGTGTTAGATTCAACCCTCTTTCTCAACCATGATGAAACCCTCGTCGACGAAGCGTGACGCAAGTCAGAGTGAGAGGACCTATGGCGGATTTGGTGAAGAGAACCCACGGCGGATTCGCCGAAGAGAACCCACGGCGGAGACGGTGAAGCGCATGAGCTGCGGCGGAGGAGGTGTGACAGACTCGTCTCTGGTCAAACTCTGCTTTGACTTCACCTCCTCATCACCACAGGTCATCTCGCTTCCTCTTCTCTGGTCTCTCTTTCTCTTCTTCTTGTTATAATATTGGTAATTGATTTTTTGTTTTGTTTTATTTACAGATCTGCGAAGATAATAATGAAACAGGAAGGAGAAGGGGTGGTGTGACGGCAAGCGTAGTGTACTGGGATGGTGGTGCGGCGGTGCAGCGATGGTGGGGCGGTGCAAGCTAAGTTTTGATTTTTAGGGTCTTTTTGGTTTAGTTTGATCAATTAGTTTAAATTTTGTAAACCGATTCTAATTTATAAAATAATTTTGATATATAAAATTATTTTAGTTTCTAATTTGTATTTTGTAATTTTTTTTTCTATTTGTTTGGGTTAATACTGTTCCATAGTTATAGAAACTTTGTAGCTAAAGTTGTCTCTAATTGCAATAGAAGGAGTTGTTGTCACATTGTCACTAATTTGCTACGAATATTTCTCTTGCTAATCCGTCTCTAGCTGGCTACAGATTAGCTACAAATCAAGTTTAGCGTGGACATTGAGGCAACAAAATTCATCAATCGCCATTCGTTGCCTGACCAGTTTTAGCTACGAGTTGTATGTTTTAGCTACAAAATAATCAGTAGCTATTCAAGTAAATTCTTGTAATGTGCCTCTCCGGGTATTAAATCTTGGATTTGCTCAATTAGACCAAAAATAAATTCTTTGTTGGATTGTTCAAACATGAAAACCAACTCTGCTGAATTATTTTTGAAACGACTGAGATGAAATCAACGTCTACTCATCCTTTCCACCGAGAAAGTTCCACCATAAACCGTTACTCCGGCGAGATTCAAGAGATAAAGTCCGAATTCTATGAAAAAGGAGTCGTAGCTTATCCTTCAACGAAGATTCTTCATCAAGAGCAAATGGAATTTTGGATTAAGATCGTTGAAGAGACTAAGAACAACTCATAATCAGAGATAGATAAAATTATGAAGTATTGCTCTGATATGAGAAAAAACAAAAACTCGCTAAAGCGAAACACAAAATTGGCTTATCCGAAGAGAGAATCCGCTAACCGAAAAAGGAAGTTCGATATAATATACAACAAAAGAACAAAAAAGAAGACCTGAATCTCTCTTCCTTCTGATGGATGAAAGTTTAGTAAGAAAGAATAGAGAAAAACTCTCTCTCTTTAGAAGAGACGAGAGGAGACAAATCCCCGATTGCCCCTATATATTGAGAGTCAATCTTCAGAGGACTTCTTCTAATTTTCTTTATAAATTGATTTATTTTAAATATAAAATTAAGAAATTTACGGATTTACCCTCAAACTCTTTAACCTAATCTAAAATATGGTTAGCCGACGGTTTCTTTTTCATTTTTTACTTTTCTTTTCTTTCTTTTTCTTTCTCTCTCTTTCTCTTTTCTTTCTTTCTTATCCTTTTTTCCTTCTTTCTTCATAGATCTGGAAGCAAGGAGATGAAACATATTTACGATGACACAATATGATGTAACACCGACAGAGCTGAGATCCACGGTGATTCATCCTGCAAAGACGATGAAGAAGATGCAAAATTAGAGGAAAAAGATTCAAAGAATATATGGGTTTTGATTTACAATTCTTCTTGTTCTGTATTTCTGATTTAAAATTCATATTGTTGTTCTAGATCTAGGGATGTTTTTGATTTAAGATTCCTATTGTTGTTCTAGATCTAGGGATTCCTAGTTGTTAAATCGAATTCTGGATTTTATCTGTTTCTATGGGTTCTTCTTGTTTTGCGTTTTTGATTTAAAACTCGTATTGTTGTTCTAGATCTAGTAATACTTAGTAATACTTAGTAATACGTAGTATATCTAACTCATCAGGTACTTAGTAGTATTCAAGTATTACTAATATAACAAGTAGAACTTGGTATAACTGCACTTAGTAATACTAAGTAGAACTTGATATAACTCAATAGAATTTGGTATAACTGTACTTAGTAATATTCTGTAGAACTTGATGATAATTGCACTTAGTAATACTTAGTAGAACTTGGTATAATTCGTATAACTAAGCAGTAGTATTATCCAATATGAAGTATAATTCAGTACAACCAAGTAAAACTATATCATATAATATAGTAGTCGAAAATTGAAATCGCAGAAAATTTTGAAATTTTAAAATTTTGAAATTTTTAATTTTTAATTTTTTTAATTGAAAAAAAGAAAAGAACAAAATTGGGTTTCTATATTTCATTAAAGTAATGAGGGTATATGAGATTTTATAGGTCCATAGGAGATTGTGTCTGTAAAAATAGGGCAAAGAAAAAGTTGGCTCAGACGAGAGAGAGTCTTAAAAAATAATAATAATACATTTAATAATTGTTTTTCGTATTTGCGAGTATCTACATTACTTTTCCTAAATTAAACAATCGTACGCCATTTTGCTTGTTACCCTCCTCTCGCATTTGACTCGAAACAAAATTCCCCAAAATAGCATATGATATTAGACATCACATAAGTATTTCAACTAATCAATTGCATATCTACCAAAATAAAATAAAATTGATTTTCGTCTATAGAAACCAAAAACTTTTAAAAAACAGAAAGGAGGAAATTTCCGGGAAGTTGCGTAAGTGGACCCAACTTAAATTAAATCAACAACACATGTAGAGTCGCCACCTATTTATACAGAATCTGTCACAACACAACAGATGTAATAGTTTTAGAAGTATCAATCAAGTCATGGGGAGTATCGCTGAGCCGTGGGGAATCTCGGAGAGCGAAAACGCAAACGCGACACCAAAGGGTTTGAGCAGGGAGCTGCGACATGGGAAAACTGCACACAACATGTCGTCATCGTCTCTAAGGAAGAAGTCAGACTTGCGATTGATTCAGAAAGTTCCATGCAAACCGCTCAAGAACGTTCTCTCTAATCTCCAAGAAGTCATTCTTGGTACTAAACTTACTGTCTTGTTTCTCGCGATCCCTCTCGCCGTTATCGCCAATTCTTACCACTACGGTCGCGTAAGCTCCTTATTTTTTTTTCTGAAACACACTCCTCTTTTCTTTTCATTCCTCTCTATTTTAGGTAAAAAAATTCAGAGATGTTAGGCAATTGTTGTTCAGTTTCCCAATGAATTCCTTAATTAAAATAATGTTTAGTTGAAGGGAATATAAAATTTCAGAACTTCAAAGAGTTTTATTTAATTATTGACTTAAATCTGATGGAGTTCTTGGATCTAATATAAGAGTAAAGTGACTCGGCTGTTATTCGATTTGGTTAAGTATTTTGGTTTTTGAGTATCTTAGACAAAAATGCATATGAACCATTCGGATATTTATAGAACATGAGTCGATTTTGGTTTAGTTTCGTTTAGTTTCGATTTTGTTTCGAGTAATACACTAAAAATCGATTAATATCCAAAATAAAATTTGGGTTCAGTTTGGTTTATTTTTACATAAAAAAATGTTTTTCATCATTATAGGATATTGTAGCCACGTGATTATCTGTTACCTTTATTTAGTGCGTTGCATCAAAAAGATAAAGACAAGTTTATCTATTTATAAAGTACGTTTCTTTTGTAAAATGTGTGACAGCCGTTGATATTTGGACTGAGCTTGATAGGACTGACACCTTTAGCCGAGCGAGTTAGCTTTCTGACAGAGTAAGTACTTATTCCCCCACAATCATTTTATTATTTTCGTATTTTTCAGGTGTTTGTTAATATATTTTCACTGATTAAGAAATAACTTAAACTAAATATATTATTATATTTTATTTAATCTAAATCTAGCCAATTAAAATTCTAAATCAAAATTGATAGTGTGTTGAAATGGAATGATTGATTATGTAAAAATCACTTGTTTACATTTTTTTGCAATTTCTGAAACAATGTTAAAATTTCTGTTTCTTTGGCAAAACATTACTCTTTTTTTTGAACTTTACAAAACAATAAACTTGCAATAATAGATTGTTATATGATATTATGCTTTTAAGAAGTTTGAAAAAAAAGTATCATAAAATGAAATTTGTAGGAATTCATAAAAAGGTATTCTTTTAAGAAGTTTGCCAAAAAAAAAAAACGTTAAAAGCTTTATTATATTATATAAAAATCAAGTATCATAAAATGAAATTTGTAGTTACAGTTTATACAACCATATTCCCTTTTTTTTTGAACACCAGTTTATACGATCAGATATAGTTTGAAAAAAAAAAGTTCTCCCTTTACCCGTGCAGGCAACTAGCTTTCTACACCGGTCCAACAGGTAACACATTCATACAAATTAAACTATTCTCGGAATCAATTATGTAAATGTAATCTCAATAACTCGCTTAGATGTTTTAATGTCTTTACTTGGCAGTGGGCGGCTTGTTAAACGCCACTTGTGGAAATGCGACGGAGCTGATAATAGCGATATTAGCGTTGGCCCATAACAAAGTGGCGGTGGTGAAATACTCTCTGTTGGGTTCAATTCTCTCAAACCTTCTCTTGGTTCTCGGTTCTTCCCTCTTCTGTGGTGGAATTGCCAATATCCGCCGTGAGCAGCGGTTCGACCGGGTTAATATGCCTTCCCCTTTGTACTCCGGTTTAATTCTTATGGTAGTTTGACATAACCAAACCGGGAAACAAGAATTCAACTGCATTCAGAACATATTCTCACCATTACGTTTAGTGTAATCAAACCTAACATAATTAAATAAAATATATACATATATAAGAATGCATTAAAAATACTCAATTTTGCTCTTCAAGTCTTCACTTAGAGGTTATAAAAAAAATTGGTAGGTATTTTATTTTAATGTGATTACTATTTTTTATTGTTACAGAAACAAGCCGATGTGAACTTCTTCTTGCTGCTTATGGGTCTGCTGTGTCATTTGCTACCATTGCTATTAACATATGCAGCGGCTGGAGAAGCATCAACCTCTATGATTAACAAAATGTCGCTTAGTCTGTCCAGGACAAGCAGCATCGTTATGCTTATTGCTTACATTGCATATCTCATTTTCCAGCTCTGGACTCACCGCCAGTTATTTGAAGCACAAGAGGTAACAAAAGTTATAATTAAATTTACTCGCTTAAGTATAATGCAAATGAATGATGTAACTATATAATTTGTTAAATGGGATTCAGGACGAGGATGATGCCTATGATGATGAAGTGAAAGTTGAAGAAACTCCGGTGATAGGATTTTGGAGTGGATTTGCTTGGCTCGCTGGGATGACACTAGTCATCGCATTGCTATCGGAGTATGTTGTAGCCACGATAGAGGTATTTAATTAAGCTATATATATATATATATATATATTTTTTTTTTTTTTGAACAAAGGTTTTCACAAACTATTATAATAAAAATTGGTCAGGATGCATCGGACACATGGGGACTGTCAGTGAGTTTCATAAGCATCATATTGCTTCCCATTGTCGGAAATGCGGCTGAACATGCTGGGGCCATCATTTTCGCTTTCAAAAACAAGCTGGTGAGAAACCTTTTATGTTTGCTTTACAACATTCTAGTTTGGTTTTATGCTTAGTGCATTTTTTTT